TAGCTCCTATGGTTTATACCTTTGCCTTGAGCTTTTTGTTTTTCTCTTTCTTCTCTTCAAGTGTAAGCCCTTGATCATCTCCATGCTATCACCATTGTCATGTTATGATCTTCATTTGCTTCTCTACTTGAAGTGTGCTACCTATCTCATGATCACTTGATGAACTAGGTTAGCACTTAGGGTTTCATCAATTCACCAAAACCAAACTAGAGCTTTCACTCTTCTTTCTCGTCCTCTCGGATTTTTTCTCTCCCCACTTTGCCCTACCTCACGAATCGGCATATTGGACCTTGAAAACTTTGATTTGATCCGTAGATCTTCGAGTGCAAGATATCCTCGCTCCCTCCTAGTTTTTTTCACATCGATTCGGTATATATTAGTCGAATTTTTTAACTTAAGAATCATCATTACTTAGTGTTTCATGCAATTTTAATATTTATATTATACAATCGTAGGATGCCAAGGCGTGAAAAAGCTAGCAAACCAAGGTAACCTCAGCGCACGTTGTTATGTTATGAGTTCATTGTTGTGAATCAAATGGAAAACCTTAGGTGTAGGGTTTAATGTTAATTGCTTTCGATTCTTAGAACGAAAATGGCTAAATTGTAGTTATGGCCGGATGACCGGAAATGCCTTCTACCCATTGCCTCTGCCTAGTGGTGTTCTAGTGCCCATGTGCTTTTACGGCGATCCTTACAAGGTAGCCAAGTCTGATGAAGAGGACATGTATAGGCAGAGGTATTGGATGTGTTCTAATTTTATGTTTGAGTCTACACTTCATCAGCGCCGCATTAACAAGATGGTGAGGAATTGATGTTGTGTAATAATTATTTTGTGTCATATGATATTTTGCATATTTTTTTTGTTTTGTAATAATTGCATTTGTTACAGACCCCTTCACCGCTCTGTGATTTTGAGCAGTGGATCGACATTGAGATCGAGCCTGAAGACAAGAAATGGATGCAGAAACTGTTGCGGTGGGAGGCGGAGCACAAGGAGATGATGGAGAAGAGACGTAGAGAGAAGGCTACAGAAAAAGGAGCACAAGAAAGAGGAGGAAAGGAGGTGTGTTGCTGCGTACAGGGAGGAGAGGGAGAAGAAGCTTAAGCGTGCACGCCGAGCGAAAGCAGTGATGGAGAAGAATCTCGATGCCCTGAGGAAGGGAAAGTGGCATCATTGCACTCAGTAGTCTTCATTACTTGCTAGTTTTATGGTTTATTCATGAACAATGTTGTCTACTGTTGGACTTTTCATTGTGTTGTCATGTAATGCACTTTAAGTATGGGCATGCTTAGGTCATGTACTGTGTTATTTAGTTTGTCGACACGTACTTCTAGTATTATTGTGTTGTTTAATGTGTCATAGTATTTGACTTTTTATTATGTAATTGTTTTTATTATTTGTGGTCATAATATTCAGTTTAATATTGCAGACACAGTGAAATGTGATCACGTGCTGCAAACAAAACCTAACGAAGTAGGGTATTATATAATTCAACACACACAACACATGAAATGGCATATGAGAACATGTATTGAACTAGGGTACATAGGTCCTAAACTAAACCTAACACGCCTTAGGTAATTGAAGCGAACAACAAGCACACGAAATGGTATTTGAGAACATATACCAAACAAGAGTACATAGTTCCTTCGACTAAACCTAACATGTCTTAGGTAATTAAACCAAACAACAAACACATGGATGTGCCATGTGAATAAGATAGGGTCGTCCTTGTAGTGTGTCCACATAGCAAATTGTGTTGCACCTTCTCCACAATAGCCTCCCATTGTTGGTGGTGGTGGTGGCGGGGGGTGACGGCGGAGGGCCCTTGTTCTTATGATTAGGGCAGATGCAATATGGACGACAGTGCCTAAAGGCCTCGACACACTGAGGGAAGCATCAGAAAGCATGGAAGAATATCTACCTCCCATTCTTCCATGCATTTGATTTTGGGATGTACTCATAATGCATGTCTGGATTCACCGCTTTGATTGCATTGAAAAGTACTGGCAGCTGCTCATACCCATTCTTTCAGTCTCCATATATCATCTTCCGTGCTCGCTGCTTAGCCCTCCAAGTTTTACCATAAGTTATCACATAACTTCCATACAACGCCTCAACGGCCTGATAATTGTCCTAACCTTCATGTTGGGTTCTCCCTGCAATATTCTCATCAACCGCTTGGCAATGAGGGTAGATGTCAACTGTCGATGCTTCAGTGTCAGCACATGGTCAGCACAATTGTGTGGCCCGACAACTTTTGTGATCTTTCACTTTCTAGTGACCTTTTGCTTTCTTGCACAAACCCTCCATGGGCAGCGTTCCTTGTCACACACAACTATGTAACGGCGCTCTGCATATGAATACAAGACCTTGTAAGGTCTTTTTTTGTATCACTGCAAACGCCTGCAACCACCTCTTCAATGCAGGGAGGTCCTTGAATACCCTACCATTTTCAATTACCATGTTAGGGATGGCCTCAGGAGCTTCTAGGAGCTCATCATCACATCCTTCTACACACGCCTGATCGGAATGAGCAAGATCGCTGACGAGCAAGATCGCTGAACTCGTGAACTCTTGGATCATGGCGGCCAGGAAAGATACGCCTCAGCATCTCAACATTACTCTCTGTCAGCTCTCCAACAGGACGATCATCATCAGGATCAAGAGCCCTTGCCATCTCATATGGCTTCGAATCATTCATAATTTCAACACTATTGGAGCCACGGAATCAATCTCCACAGTGCACTTACGCAGCAACAGGGGAAACATCCACATTGTCAGGAATGAGTCCTGCAATATAAGTAGAAAAATGAGGAAAGAATAAAAAAATGGATGTAAGGAAGGGGGTAAGCTCCCAATAACTATGCGGATAAGACACTTACTCGGATGATTCTGTGTCAAAGGGGTCTCATGAGGAGGATCTGCCACAACATCATGAGTCTGACAATCATCTCCAACTAGCTCATTGGGGGCAGATTGAGCATCGGGAACCATAGGTGCAACCTCCACATCCATATCAGGTTCCGAGACGGGAGGGTCGAAGTGTGCCTGCTGATCCATTGGTGGGGAAAACCCATGAGGGATGTGATCAACTAACACCCGACGCACAACCGCGTCCAAACTTTGGAACTGGCACTTCATAGCCGATCTCATATAGTTCTTCCACTGGTATGCACACCCAATTGGGATTATCTTCCTAAGTATGTTGGGAGGAAAACCTAGATGAAGTACACCCTCAACTACGATGCCATCATCATCATGGCAATGTAGCTCCTTCCGAGCCCTTGCAACCAAATCAATAAATGAAGGCTTCTCATTGAATAACACAGGCACGCTTTGCATGTCAACAAACTCAATATATTCATAGCGATCTCTTTCCATGGTGCCTCCATGATATATGTTCACTAGGTTGTCCATCTATTTCATACACAAATCCAAACACATTTCGTTTAGTCCAAATTACGTGCCAACAACTACATACAAGATAACTGCTAGCTTTGCAAATAACATAACAGCTAGCTCCATACATGTCCAACAACTAGGTTATCACCTTATTATCACTACATCACCAACTAATTAAACTAAATAGGTTATCATAACTAATTAAGTAGATAGCTAACTAAGTAAATAGTCTAACTAGGTTATCACCTAATCTTTAGATCACCAACTAATTAAACTTAATAGGTTATCACATTACCATCCTAAGTACATCAATAAACTAACTACTACACCACAATTCAACCTCACTATCTAACTACATTGCATATACACGAAATTTACCTGTCCAACGATGGCAGTGCACGACGTGGTGGAGAGCAGGAGGAGGTGCCGGGCGCGGTGGAGGGCCGTGGGACGGGGTGGCGGAGAACGACCTACGCGTCCGGCCGGACGTGGAGGACGGATAGGCAGCAATGCCTGGCCCAGCGCTGTGGGACGGGAAGGGCGCGATGGCCACGGATGGCCGGCCAACCGCGGCGGGGAGGCCGCCTCGAGTGGGGCGCGGCGGCGGCTGGGGCGGTGGGGCGGCCGGCCGGCGCAGCGCGGCCGGGACGGGGGCATGGGACGCGAACGCGGCGGCCGGGACGGGGGCACGGGGCGCGGCGGTGGGAGGCGTCGGGCGAGAGAGAAGAAAGGAAGAGAGGAAAACGAAAGAAAGGAAGAGAGAAAGGAAAATGACCCACCTGTAAGGCCGGCTCGGCGCCAGGATCTACGGCGCCAAACTCGGCGCCAAGATCTACAGCGCCAAGCTTGGCGTCAAGATCCACGGCGTCGAGCTGGCTGCCATGTCACCCCCGGCTCTACTTTGATGCCGACGTGGCCTCCCGACCTAGGTGCCAAACCCTTTGGCGCCGAGACGTGTAACCTCGACGCCACCTGGCATCGAGGTAAGGGTACATGTTTTGAAAGTATAACTATAGGGGTATATTTGTGAAAAACTTTAAAAAAAAAGATAAAAAAAAAGCCTGCACCGCATGCACTCGTGCCGGCCGATCGAGTAGACCAGTAAATGCCTGCCTGCCCAGCCAGCGCCCGGTGTCGATCGTCGATCAGATCGTCGGAGACGCCCGCCGTTGGACTTGGAGCAGGGCATGGACACGTACGTGTACACTGCAGTCTGCAGTCAGCCACCCCCCTGAGACCGAGACGCGCGCCAGCGGGCACCGCTGTCCGCTGCCGCGTCGCTGTTGCCACTACTGTTACGCGCGCGCGCGCGCGAGCGATCCCTCGCACACCTGACGCGTCGCGGGTCTCCCCTGTCGTGTCTCCTCTTCCTCCCCTTCCCCTACTTATACACCCAGCAATCCCCCGTCCGGTCCGTCCTCTCTCTACAGCTACCTAGCTAGCCACCATTGCACCACCTCTGTTGTCTGTTCTCTCCATCTCCTGCTCGATCATACCTACACGATCGACTGCTCCAGCTCGCACGGGAGCATCGCCGACGATCGATCGGCTCGGACTAATAAGCTAACTCGGTGCTGTATAGTTCCCTCGATATGGCAATGAGCGAGCTCAGCTCCGACACCTCGTCGACGTCCTCCTACTCGTCCGACCCCTCCACGTCGTCCACCAGCCCGCGCGCCGCGCCCTGCTCTGACGCCCCACCAGCCGGCGGCGGCCGTGCCGGCAAGAAGCGCCCGCGCTCAAACGATGGCGGCGGCAGCGGCTCCGCCCCTGCGTACCGCGGCGTCCGCATGCGCGCGTGGGGCAAGTGGGTGTCGGAGATCAGGGAGCCCCGCAAGAAGTCCCGCATCTGGCTGGGAACCTTCCCGTGCCCGGAGATGGCGGCGCGCGCGCACGACGTCGCCGCGCTCAGCATCAAGGGCACGCGCGCCGTGCTCAACTTCCCGGACCTCGCAAGCCACCTCCCGCGCCCGGCCTCCCTCGCCCCGCGCGACGTCCAGGCCGCCGCCGCGCGCGCCGCCCTCATGCACTCCGCCGCCGGCAGCGGTGGCTCTTCTTCGCCCTCCTCGTCCTCGTCCTCCTCATCGCACGACGCGCCGGCCGCGCCGGCGGACGACGACGGGAAGCGAGCTGGCGCCGCCGCGCACGACGAGCCGGAGCACGAGCCCGAGACTCAGCCCGAGCGGCAGCCAGCGCAGACCGTAGGGGTGGCCGCCGAGCTGGTGTTCGACGAGCTGGCGCCGCTGTGGGTGGAGGACGTGGTGGAGTTTGGGCCGTCCGATCACACGTGGACGCCGTGCGATGGGCTCGACGCCACTGTCGGCTTCCTCCACCCTCTCCCCCTCCTGTGGGACTACTAGCTGCTACTAGGCTCCTCCGTTTGTACATGACCTTCAACCGTTTTGGTTTCTGCTTTGTGTGTTTTTCCAAGCGTGTGGTTTTTGTTTTCTTTTCACTTGTTATGTTTTTGCTGGATTTTCTTGTTTCATGTGGAGTAAATTAGCTAAGTGAAAGAAAATGCGAGATCAATGTAAAGAAAAACTTGAGTTTATTTCACGATGACGCGTGTCGTGACACTATTACCCATTTTTGGATCAGTGAAAATGATGCTAGGTGGCCGCAGATATATAGCGTATTAGCGTTGTTGGCTTTTTGCAATGCCATGATGAATCTCGAAAAAGTTACGTATACCCATCGAACACACTCGAGCAAAACTAATAAATCCAGTAACAATAATGTGAAATCGACATTTGCTTTGGTCCAGCATGGTAAGTAATCTCCTTACTCATACCCGTGAAGTGAAATGCGATCTATTTTCTCGCAGTAGTTACATTGCCTTACAACAAGTTATTGACTTTTTTTACAGAAGCGTTCTTGTCACAGTGACTTGATGACTAGAGGAGCCGTAATTTATCTACTAGGGTGCAATTGCGACGCCCTGGAGCTATAGAAACAACATCACATCAAATCGGAGAAAGCGGCAAACTTTTCTCGCATTGTATCTATGTAGACTAATTTTGGAGAGTAGCCATCGCTACAGATAAGGGCACTTTTATCCATATTTGCCAATGACATATCCTACACACGAGTAACGAAGCACCAGCCAACACCCCGTTCGCTTGGGCTTGTTTGACTTATAAGCCGTACTTTTTCAACCAACGAATAATATTTTTCTCTCACACCAAATCAGCCAACGGTACTTTCAACCATTATCCGCCTGTTTGGTTTGGCACCCAGCAGGCAAACCTTGCCTGGCCAAGCAGCTTCCCAAGCCATCGTTCTAAGCTCTTGGTAGCCGGAGTTGCTGCCTGGTAATGACAAGCAGGTTGCTTGCCAGGTCGCGATTCAAACAGGCCACATACCTTTTGTTAGTGGATCGATGTGTCAAATTCATCGGTCATACTTTTCTATTCTCCTTAGGCTCCATTCGGTTCCTCAGGAACCATTCCTAGCCGGACCATTCCTTCACAAAATTGTATAGCGCCAGAATTATTCCGGACATGAAACGGGCCATTCCGCAGCAAGCGAACGAGGCCTTAGTTAGTTCCTCTCAGAAACATTCGCAAAAAAAAAAGTTCCTCTCAGAAAAAGAAGAAAAACACTTAATGCTAGGAAAAATTTAATCTTTTCAAAATAACTGGCTTGTAATTTCTTCGTGGGAGACTGTTATCCAGGAAAGGAATTAAACAACAGGTTAACTATGGAACCATTGATTCCGGCCGGGATCCTGAACCTTTTGTGTCATTGTGTGCATGCGAAACCATTCCTGAAGGGAAAGCAAAGCATTGACCCGATTAGTGCGCACAACTCAGAGATCCCACGGATATTTGATTTGGCCCCCCGAATGATTGGCTGAACCTGAACCGGAGGACATATTGGCGCTGAACGGGAGTAGTTTTTTTTTTAAGCTTTTGAATTTTAAACGAAACCCCACCAGGTAGGTGTGAGCCATTCATAGGCGGCACGAACGGATCGGCGACGACGCGCGCTGACTCCTCCATGTCCATGACCATGGAGCCTGCTGGACTGCTGGAGCCTGCCAAGAATGGAAGGAAGCAGGAGGCAGCGGCATTATTGAAGAGGCGATCGATGGGGAACCAGCTGTCTCCTTCCCCGGGCGCAACTGACCAGGGCCGGCCAGTCCAGATCGCCGCTACCGTGCGGAGGCGTTGCTGCCCTGCTCTGCGACTGCAAGTGCAATGCACAACAAGCAGATCGTGCTCAGGAGGTAGGGACGTCACAGTCTCAGACGTACTACGTGGCCATGTCTCAGGCTAGTCTAGTCTCAGATCATGTTATCGGCTTATCGCCTCCCCTGTCTCTCTCCTGCAATGGCCTGGCCGTGCATCTCGGCTGCCGCTCCATGCCATTGCCAGGCATGTGGGCACGTTCATGTCATGGACGCGACAAAAAAAGGATTTTCTCCCCTCTCTCTCTCCTCTTCCCTTGGCGTTGTTTTCCGCCACCGTGTTCGTGTCGCTGCGTTTGGTCGCGAACCAGGCGCCACCGTGTTGGATCTGGATTCGCCGCGGCTCGCGCTTTCGCATGGCCAAGCAGGCTTGGCGTGGCTCGCTAGCGAGCTGCGGCAGCACAGCGACCAAGGGCGACAAGGTCGTCGTCGTTTTCGTGGAGGAGTGCCAGGCGCCTCCTCTTGCACTGTCGTGCGACGGACAGACATGGCGAGGAGGACGGCTCGGACAGGGCAGGAGGACAAGCAAACCACACACCTGTGTCTCTGTGTGTGCACCGTGTTAACGGTCTGGAAAACTAGTGCTGCAGCCTGTAGCTGTAGCTGTAGGAGTATCGTCGAGCGACAGGGCATATGCTGGACAGTCGGCTCGACAGAGAAGCTGCCATCTGGGCACACGTGTACGCCGGCCATAGATTACCTCAGGATTACCAAGATCCTGTACATGACTGCCACTAACTGCGTTCCCTCCCTCTCTTTGGCAAAGAAAAAAGAAAAAAGAAAAGAGAAAAGAGAAAAGAAAGCATGCCCTTTGTGGGCTAGCTATCCCAATGCATGTATGTACTCTCATGTCTGAGGTACAACCAATGGCTAGAAAAATATAATAACCCTACTTCAATGACAGGAAGAAAAAAAAAGGGACGGTGGGCTATTTTGTTTGGATTTTTTTTCTTGGTGATGATGCAGAGAATATATACAGAGCCCAGCTACTTTGTATATCGCTTTCCTGGCTATTTTGTACGGATTATGTAAATAGAACTTCAAGTTATAACACGTGTCATCAGGAAACGGAGTCGAAATCGCATACGGCGAACAAGTTAATGCTTGAAAGGTTCCCTATATCATTTTGTTTTTTTTAATTATTGTCAGATAAAAAAGCCCGTCTTAATAATGAAAATAACATTTTCTCTGGCATTGCATACCTGTGAGAAACAACCTGCTCACTAGTGGTTCGCAAAAGGTTGACTCTCTTTTCTTATTTCTTTTTTTTGGGGGCGAAAAGTTTCGTTATTTTTTTCCCTCTAGCTTTTCACAACGATGAATTCATTAGCTATACTCCAACTTTGTACTAGTAGCTAGTTAAATGAATAACTCATACACACATGAGTACTTGCAACGACAAAATCAACAATGCATTCTAAATACAAGGTGTTGACATTGACAATTAACGGGTAAGAACTTCCATTTTGAATTTGCTTTGACAAAATATAAAACGGCATAGCGTTGTACATACTATTGTACACCCCTCATGCTCGTGCAAGTATCCACGTCTACGACCTAATTACATACGCACTTAACTTATACGCGCTTAATTAATTAGTGTTGATCCTGAGTAGGATGTCTCCTAGATGCAGGACAAAGCATGTTTTATTAACAACAATGGAAATAATCAACTCAAAGACATGGTTTTAAAAAAGAATTAAATAAACCACCACTAATATACAAGCCCTGCAGAAATTCTTTTTGTCTAATTTTCCCTCTTTCGATTTCTAGTTGTGCCATCATCATTTCTGTCAATGACCCCATGACCCGGTCAAAGATTAATTGGCCCCGAGGGATTTCTGACAAGTGTTGCCACCAGCCGCATTTCTGTTTGGGCCATGAAGAATTTGCCCAGTTCGTTTGGCTGATAAGTCATGACTGAAAGTACTGTTGGCTGATTTATTGTGAGAGAAAAATAATGTTCGTTGGCTGAAAAAGTACGGCTTATAAACCAAACGAACAAGGCAAATGTCAATGTTAAATTAATGTTCTGATTCAGCTTTGACAGCTAGCTTTCCTTCAGGGAGGTTTAATGCTGATAGATATTGCAACCATCAGATGGCGCCGGCTCTATTAATGAGAAAAAAAAACTTAATAATTGTATGTGATGCATGCACAAAAGTGTTTCGAATACCACTACCAACTGACTCCAAATGCATCCATGCTTAAATTTTGGCTTTACCTTAAGAGTCTCCAGAGTCTTTTTAATGCCGTTGATCATGCAGATTTGGGCTAAACTATATGCTGACTAAGTTTCAGTCAGGTCGTTAATTACCACATCTGAAACAATGATTGTTCAGCATTAGTATAGAGACCAAACAAACTTGGTTTGGTTAACAAAGGCATTTTTTTTTGATAATGAGCTCTGGAGTTCTCTCTGAACATCGTGGTTTCAAGTTGCCTTCTCTCTCCATTTTTGTTCCTCTGGCGGCACTAAACTATACGACTGTGGTACGTGGTCAAACTGTTTCCACATGTTTAAACAATTGCTAATTATGCATGTACTGGCAACAAGACAAAAACATATTATTTATGGATCTATAAAAATACGAAGCTGTCGTGTACGGTATCTGAAGACTGGAGAGGTCTGGCTTTATATGTGCAGGAAACTTTTGCTGTCTTCCTGATTAAATAAAGTATATTTATTTATATATTCCAGCTTGGACATATTATCTTTTTATTACTGTATTACTAGTTAATTCGCAAAGATATTCTTTTTCTTTTCATACAGGTACTGGTGATTCGTTGACATCTAGTAATTTTATTTGCAGGAGCAAAGACTACCATTTGGGGCAGGTTTTTGTTAATGCTGTTTAACAAATATTATATTTTGACATTTCTTTTGTACTCTATTTGTCGCTGATTTGTCCAAAAAACGTGCTGGCGTTCAGACTTGGAAGCGCAGGACCGTACTATAAATTGTTAATTGCAAGGTGTGTCATGAACTGAGCTGTTTCATATAATTTTAACAGGTACTTAGTAGTACTAGTAATGCTATTAGTAAGGATGGTTTTACTTATGCACGTTGAGCATTTCAACACCACTTTCGATCGCGGTCAACTTTGACCACTTATTCCGATAATCTGATTTTTAATGCTTACAGTTTCAATGTTTCATTATCATGTACCCTTTGACAATGTCTGTGAAAAGAAACTCTACGCCGAGCTGACAAAAACGAAAGGTAAAGTGCATCTTTTTTTTTTTCCCCGAGCAAGATGCAGAGAACAGCGCAACAGAGGAAGGGCCTAGATTCGTTGTTTCCGAGAGGGGAACAATTCCTATTCCATTTCCAATTTGACTTTAGAAGAAGACAGCATGGCATCCCCTAGCTCAAATCCTTTATAAAGGACGCAGGCGTGTTTAACTAAATACAAGTCCGAATCATGAAATCTCAGTACCCATCTAACATAATTTGCACTGCATCAATACAACCGTTTGACCTTCGTTACTCTGCGAGCGTTCAGAAAATCTATCCAACATCACATCAGTTTACACCATTTATCTTTTTCTTTTTCTCGGAGGGGTATATTGTTGTCGCCGAGAAGAACGGCACTAGAACATTGACAACAATGAGTCGATCACACCAACATTTGCAACAGGTCCTGTTACAATTTGCACCATGGTCGGATGTCATACGAATAAGATACACACTCTACGCATCGATACCCAATGCATACCACCGTGGCCAAATAATATTTTTGACGTAACTTCGATAAGTGAACCTCATTTCGGCCTAGAATTTCCAAAAGGAACCAAAACAAAAGTTGCCACCATTTGAGTGAGCAATGCAACTTAAAGGCCAAACATCAAGTCCATAACTTTGGACAAGACAGATTTTGTAGGCGAAGCAATGGCCCCAGACGCGCCGCGATTGCTCTCATTGCAGCTGCCATTTGGCACAGAGTTGCTAGGTAAAGGTGCTAGTGCATTCCTGGTTGCAAATCCACTTGGTGCTACAAGTTGCGATGTAAATGTGACTGTAGCACTGCCCTGATAGTTCTCGTTGGTGTTCTCATTCAGGTACTGCCGCTGCCATGGATCCACTGGCTTCACACCAATAATAAGAACACTGTTTAACTGCTGCCCATGTTTGGCGAGTGCTTTTTGTGCATCATGCCGGCTCTGAACATAAGGAAAAAAAAACAGGACACACAAGTCAGCCAAGATAATTGCAGAGGTAACAGCAAAGATAACTGCCATCTTAAGCAGAGTGAATCCAATTTGAGAAAGCTATTGCTGGTAGTCAGAAAACAAAGGCATCATAAGGTACTGTCCCATAACAGAGTGTAAATAAAATCTGTAATATATACTGTAAAAATACATGATGATAAAAAGGGAAATATGAGCAAGAAACTCCAAATCCCAACATTATCTTGTACATAGAAATCTGAGGTAGATCAACAAAATAACTCTTTTGTCAAACCTCTGCAAAGTGTTGTTTACAGCATTACATCCCAAACAACAGGCTAGCCAGAAAATGTGTGGTTAGTTGCTTTTATGATAACAGAATGCTCTAGTCTGTTATTATTATTATGTGAAAATATTATTGGATAGATCAAATAACTCCACTTTCTAACTGGATTGATCAAATAAGTAAAAGAACATTATTGCTGAAGTAAACAAAGCCACCAATAGAATTTTAATTTTGGTGATTGAATTAGCCATACCCAGGGGTCACTTTCATTCAACAATTTCCCAAATAACCTATAAAGTCTAGCTAGTACAACAAATGAAATGGTTTATTTTACGCTTATTCTAAGAAACAATTATCTATAAAAAGTAGGTAACAAATATCCAGTGAGTTATCAGTGCTCAAACAGCAGAGCTGTAAATAGTTACCTGATACAAGATATGCACCCAGTTCGCGTCCCTTGGACCAGGAACATGTCTCAAGACTATCCCGCACTTCTCAAATTCTCGTAGCACCATGTTAGTATCACCAGGCGAAAATCTGAAAGAAATAAGATGGAAGACTAATAAAGATGTAATACATTATAACACTAACACCACTGGCATCCAACCATCATATCCATTCAAGCTAATCAGATGTTGAGAGAATCAAGCGCACAGGGGCATACTGGTGGCTTATGGATTTCATGAATTTTCAAATACATGATCTACCAAAGTACTATCTCGGTTTCGAAATATTGGATGCATTAGGTTTAAAGAAGTAACTTTATAGATTTTGACTAATGATTACTCAAAGTATATGCATGCTTAGTACATAAAAGTTGTATCAATTGATTAACATTCCAACAACCTAACTTTGAAGCAATTGATGACATAATGTAAGAGTAATTGTTATTCATCATAAAAGTATGCTTCTAAATATTTTTGTTCCAAATCCTAATATGCCTTATTAAAACAGACGGAGGAAGTGCAGACACCCATATTAGAACATTTAGGCTAATGTATAGTGCAGCAGTGCACGTAAATGTACTTGAGAAATTAAAATAAATACTGAATCAGTAGAAGAGATCCTAAAACTTCCTGATTAACATTTGTTGGAACTTTCATCTCCTAAGTTTGAAAAATTATGCCTCAACACCCTATACATAATGCATGTTTCCATTCCCCACTAACATGTAGCCAACTTTATAAGTATGACGATAACAAAAGGCAAGCCCTTATCATGGGAGAGGATAACCAATCTATTGGATATGAGCATTGCATCACTCTATCACATGGGCTTAGCAGAATATGATCCGAGGGACTGTACATCAACAAAATATAAGGTACCCTGGTTTACAACTATACTAGCAGACTCTACTCATGACCTCTAAAGTTCCTCTTTGTGACTCTCTTGTGTGCTTCAAGCATTAACAAAGAAAATCCAACATAATAAACGGTCAAAATCAAATTAGTTTTAACCAGGAAACTAATGTCTTGTTTCCTATTAAGGCTATGTTGGTACTGTTGGCATCAAAACCATCTTGTACCCGATTGTACTATGTCCTCTGAATCTCTGGAGCTATGTTGAGGGTACCAGGTCCACACACTGATGGTACAACATTCTTGGAAGTTATGTTCAAAGGGGAACTCTCTAGCAACATCAGATGAGTTTTTAAGAAAAATTACCAATTCCACATGCACTTGGCCATAACCAGCCTCTAAGTGCTAGCACTAATACTAATCTAATTACAAAACGAAACATACAGTTTTATGAATCCAATGCAGCAGATTATACAACAATCCACACATCCTACCACACCCTTTGCATCGAATTAGCTGGGGGGAGAGGCCACATACCCGAAAACGGTGACCCACTCCTCCTCGTCGACACGGCCAGCAGCAGGAGCCGAATCTCTCGGCATCTCCGGCCGCGCCACCTCCCTGGGAGGCGGCAGCGTGATCAGCGCTACCTTCTGCTGCTGTGACTGCTGACCCGACGGCGTCGTCGGGGACTGCTGTTGGTGCTGCACGACGCCATCCATCGGTGACCCCTCCCTGGGCTTCTCCTCCCTCGAGGGGGTCCACCACGCCGAGGGGGCCGGGGAACCGTTGGACCGCATTGGCGAGGAGAAGAGGTTGGCGCCACGCGGGGGCTGAGGCGAGGGGGTCGCAGTCGCCTGCGGAGGCGTGGCCGGCTGCGGGGAGGGGGAGAGGTGGGAGAGGTCGTCGAGGGAGAGCAGCGGCGGAGGCGGTGGCGGGGTGGAGGCCTGCGTCTCGCGCCGCATCGAGGCGGGTGGGAGGCGGAACGACGAGGAGATCGGGGACGAGAGGTCCCGCAGGAACGGCGGGTGGTGGCGCCGGTGGTCCGGCCTGGAGGCACTCATGACGGCGGCGGAGAGACGAAACCCTAGCAGAGAAAGTGGAGTTCCACAGTCGAGCGCGCCTTGGGTTTTTGGAAGCCTCGCGCGTGTGAATGTGAAGAGGCAAACAAAACGCCTGTGTCACCAGCATGTGGACCCCAGGCCTTTATAGGGCCCACATGTCGGAGTACCAAGGCCTCGTTTAGATTGCAAATTTTTGTAATCTGGACACTATAGCACGTTTCATTTGTATTTGACAAACTTTGTCCAATCATGGACTAACTAAGCTCAAAAAATTCGTCTCGTGATTTACAATCAAACTGTATAATTAATTATTTTTTACCTATATTTAATACTTCATGCGTCAAAAAATTGACTAGACAGAGTGAAAATTTTTTGGAATTTTGAGGCAATCTAAATAAGGCCTAACGTTTCGCTCGAAGGCGCTGAACAGGGGATACGCCAACTCATACGTCGCTCGGCGCGAATAAAAATGGAGGTCGCGACGGCCACGGAGGCGTCGGCGCCGGCGGCGAGCGGCGGCGCGGCGCGGCAGACCCACCCGTTCCCGTGGCTAGACGCTGCCATCTCGGAGCCCTACTACTTCCTGCACCTCCTCGCTTTCTTCTCTTACTTCGCGACCCGCAGCGCGGCGCTCTCCGCCGACGACGGAGGGGAGCTCCACGACCGCCTCCTCCGTCGGGTAAGCTTCGGAGATCCCCGTGTATCCGATCCAGATCGTGTCATTCGGTTGGTTGTTGAGTTGTGTTGGCTCATGCGAATCGGAGTTAATGTGCTTGGTTTTGCAGGAGATCCAGGCAGTGCTCGTGTTCCTCGTGCTCTTCGTAGTGAAGGTGCGATGATCAATTCCAACCAAAATTCCATTGCAAGCTTATTTTCTGAGTAGTATGCTTGGATTTGGTGTTAAAATTGGTGCGAGTAGCCAGTAGCTACTAGCTTCTCTGTTGCTCTAAAACGTGGATTGCAATGCTGTTATGTGGGGCTTCATATTTGTTATGTTAAATGGCCAAGGACTTTGTGTGTTTCTAATTTTTGCATTTTAAACCAATAAGACTGCAACTTGAGATGTTGAATTTGATGTCTCAGTAAATTGAAAAAAGAAAAGGGTCACATTGTTAGGCCATTACATGAATTCCTTCTGTGGTAGAATTAGATTTGCTATGAGGTTAGATTGCATCATATTGAAGGTGCAAGGTCCATTGAATTAATAGCAATGCTGGTTGGGATGTGAGAGACAATGTTATGCTATTCCTTGTGGGATACTTTCTCATATTGCAAATATGCATATAAATTTGCTTGCGCCTTATCTTTTTGCCGCTGGAAGTCGATTATTCACATGCTGTAGGAATGCCTTGCTATTCCCTGTGTGATACTTCCTCATTTATGGCAAATATGCATAGTCTGAAGCATGCCTTCTCTTCTGGAAGTGGATTATTTGCATGCTCGAGGAATGCTCATTGCTGAGGCAACACATTGGTTCATAAGAAAATAATTTTTTATAGGTGGATTTTTCTTGTTTTTGTGCTTAGCTGTCCACATGCACAAATGCACAATCAGATTATCATAACACTTATTTCTGAGTCTTCCACAAAAGGGGGACAGTGAGGAATTATACTTTTCGCCATCGAATGTACATCTTGTTTGATATGGGATGATGATTGTGTAAAAGCTTGTGATGATGTTTGTTTTGCTAATTAAATTGTTAATGCTCAGCAGATTGTGAAAGAGGAAACCTGGGAAACATTCATTGCTGACTCATTGCTTTATGCAAAGGTGTGTTGATGTGGGATGATCCTGTTTTCTTATCTATTGTCATTGACCCCAAATGAAATAATAATCTTGTGGTTTTCTTTGATAGAACCAGGTTACTGTAGATCATCTAGTTTCAATACTGCAGTTAATATTTGTTGAATTCACAATCTAATTCCTTTTCCTTTTTCCCCTCACGTTGTAGGGTTTATTGCTGGCAGTTACTTTGGTTATTGATTATTGGCTGGCCTTTGCCTACTTTCTGGGATTTCTTGGTATGTTTGTTTATCACAGATGACAGATGATATTTATCAATCTAATTATTGACCAGCATATCTGAACTTGTATCCATAGACTGTAACTAGTTCAGTCTTCTCCTGAATAACTGGATCTGTGAAGTTCGTGTCCAGGATAGCTACCCTGAGGGATGGCTGGGGCGTGGGCCCTAATTACCTAATACACATGCCAAACTGTTTAGATTAGAGCTCTGGATTTCCTTCCTGAAATTATGGAAAATTCTTTACCCCATCACTCCATCAGGAGAGAAGAGGTTGTCTAAGGAGAGCTGGTTCCAATGTGCTATCAAATTATAAAGATAGTTCCCCCTGATTGGGCTCCTCCTCTGTAAGCAGGAAGGACAATCTTGTGTGTCCTGCTATTTCATTCCCTGAAAAGAAGTCTGCTATTTACTATTTAGGCTGATCAACACCTCAATAGTCCTTATTGTCTAGTTGCCTAGTTCTGATTACTGATTGTTGTTCGTAGCCTGGTTTTGCACTTAATTACTGCCACACAATATGAACTGCATGCTTTTGTTATAAGAGGTCTTATGCTACGCATACTGGAAAGTAGGAAGTTCAATAATAGCCTTCTTACAGCTGATGTGGGATGTGCTGGATGTAGATTAGCTACTTGCTCCTCCTTATCTTTCGTTATTTCCTTAGTCACCGACTTATAAATATCTCGGTTATGAGGTTCTGATAATTATTTTGGACTCGTCATAACTTGTGCTTATTTTTCTTTCCTTCTGCAGTTATATATGCTGTAGCTCAACAGCCACCTTATGACAGCCTAGGTATGCATGCTCATATTGGGTATAGAATATTATAAGTACATGTCTTGTGTGAATAGAATGTTTATATCAAGTAACTCTTTGACAGCTGAGAACTGTATTCTTAAGTGTTGGATACTATGCTTTTAATTAATATTTTGTATGATTGTATCCTTGTTTGCACCCTTGGGTTGCTCGTTATTTACGTATTTTTTTAGCTAAGTTTTACTCACTCATCCCATGAGACTAAAGCATATGGAACTTTCGCAAATGAAAAAAAGCATCTGGAACTTACTAGTTAATGGCTTGTGATGGGTTATACCAGTATAAGAAGTTTTACATTTGGTAAAGTAAGTGGTTGCAAATCAATCATTAGGTAATCACTGCATGTGGCATTTTTATTATCAGTTTTCCCAGAGCTCTCTTTTACAAATTCTGAACTGGTTATGAAATTGAACTAATGAGTGCTTGCATTGGTGCCTTGATGGTAACTGGTTCTTTACTGAATGGAACACGTCCACTGTCCTATATTCAGGGTGGAGCGGGCTTTGGCTGGATCTATCTTATTTGTGACTTTTAGTGCAGTTGATGAGACATATCTGTTCACAAATAGATCTACCAGTTTTTAATGTGATGTTCCTAGACTGGATTGTCCTGAAATAAATTGATTTAACTGGGATTACCAATACTGCAAACCTTGGTACTTTACTACTTTAGATAAACTTTGCAGCTGAATAGAGAGCGAGCATGTGTACTAATGCTTGGAAATTATATTTCAGCATTGGTTTTCGTTTGACTTTGCGTGTGGCATAATTTTTTCCCTATGTTTGTGCTCGTTTATACATTAAAAGCTAAAATGCGACAGCATCAAATATTCTCTTTAATATCATGTGACAGTACGAATGTGAAAAGCATATCTATTTGTTAAACAAACTGCTTGTCATTTTCTTACCTAATCCAGAAGTATTTGTATCCATTCTTTGTTTTCTACCCCAATTTCAAACATTGCCTTTGTTTCTCTCAATTGCAGTGATATTTTACTTTTCACACAGGCCATTCAAATCACTTGACCCCATTGCAACTTGAAAGTCTGCTAACTGAAGAGCCAACATCACGATTTTGGCTGGTAATTTCTTTACATGTTTTTTAATCGAATTCTAATATCATTATCTCCCAAATTTCCAGTAAATTCCTACCCCCTTTATTATTTGGTCAAGGCTTGTAGCCTGTAGGTACCTACAATTGTTACAAATGTGTCACTCATCTTATGGAAGGATTAGGAACCTAAGAAGAATTTGATATGGTTTGATGGCAACCAGTTGAATTCCTTGCCCAACTGCGCAACTAAATTTAGAGACTATAACTTTAGTGCATATGATTAAAAATATAGTTTGTCTACTTTGACAGCCACAGTATCAAAATCTGACCACCTTAAGAAGTTTGGAGTCTTCTCATTTTCTTTTGGTTAGTGAGGGAACTTGTAGGAGTTCCTTTTTTTAAGAATCACCCAGAGGTTTCTTGCCCATAAAGTTAGGTGTGTGTTTTAATTTCCCTGGTTCTTTGATGACTGGATATTTTTATTTCAATGCAAACAGGTAGAATTCCGAACTTCATTTTCATCAAAATGTATACAAGCAAGCAGCGTTCTGCCTGAACTTTCTATTATGTAAGTATTTATTGAAATTTCTGATTGTTTACTACCTTGTGGAGTTTCCATTCTGTGCTGTAAGGTAGTATTAAGATCCTACAAGGCTACAACAAAATCTCATTGCCATGATGGGAGTTTGAGACTCAACTGAAAGCATTAAATTTTCCGTGTCATTCTTTCTTGCAGTTACACGGCACTAACCATTATTTGCTCTTGAAATACACTATTTAACTGATCTATGCTTCCCAATCAATATCTCCAAGTTAGTTTAAGAAACTATTCAGAGTACTTTCCTTTTGTCCTGAACATAGCATGGCTCATGTTTTTCTATTAATTGCATTTTCACATTCTATTAATGCAGGTACTCCAACAAGAACATCTCTTTTGGAATAATTGACCTTGGGCATTTCCCAAATGCTGCAGCAAAATTTGGGATATCCATGTGGGGTAATTTTTTTTTGCTTCATTTATCTGCTTCATTGTTTACTCTTATCTGTTTGGGTTGGAGATTTGGAGTGCTTGCATTTCAGTCTTATATGCTCTATTAACTCTTGACTTGATTTCTTTGAACAGATCATCTTCCCACTTACATATTGTTTGACAAGGTGACTGAAGTTTCTCGGTTTCCAGAAATCACAAGTGAATCAAAAGTATTTGTGCCAAAAGTTACTAAGGTTATTTTCATCACCTTTTGTTTTTATGGTTTATCATATTTCCCTTTTTATGGATCGACCTACATGAGTTTACATTACTTCTGACGTTTTGATCAACATGTCCTTTGGTAAGGGTTAATGCTACTTGAAAATTATACAACTATATGCCTAAGTGTAAATATATTAGTTTTCATATATGTTATTTGAAGAGCTTAAGGGTCCATTTGGTTTTGAACACCTAGGGATGGGATGGTCCTGTCCCTAGTTTTTGGCGTGGGGTGATCCAAATAGCTTGTTTGGTTCTAGGGACAGAATCATCATTGTTTCTTGTTTGGTTGAGGGAGTGAAGAGGGACACTGACAAGAAGCTGTCAACCAATGGTTGACACTGTCGGTGTGTGTCCCAAGTGTTAGTGGAGCATAGCATCTCCATGGGGTGCTCGAATCTCCATGGGCGCCGCCACCATGCCCAACTTGGCTCCACCACACCCCCACCAAACTATCTCCATGGGCATCTTCTTCATGTAGCTTGGCGGCCATGGTCACGGCAGATCGGTGCCCCCGCTCGGCTCCTCTCTGTTTGGCCACCCCTGTTAGGCTCCTCCCACTTCGACCACCCTGCTTGGTTCCTCCCTCTTCGTTCGCCCCTACTCAGCTCTGACCGGCCTTGCTTGGCTCATCCTAGATCGACGCCCCCGCTCAGCTCCGGCTGCCTTGGCATTGCTGTTTCTACGCAGGGCACGGTGGGGCCTGCGTCGGGTGCAGTGGGGGCGCGTGGTGGGGCATGCAGTGTCACGGTGCAGCGTTCGGCGTGCATGGAGGAGGAAGAAGGACCAAAGCAGGCGGAAGAAGAAACATGAACAATAACGGTGTCGGGAGGGGACAAGATGGTTCGACCAATTCTGAGGGACACCTGGGGACGGCATCTTAGGAGAATATACCCTCCAACTCCAAGGGATGGTTCCATTCCACATGTTCCAAAACCAAACACTCTGTCCCGTGTCAGAGTACACAAGAAGCGGGTGGCAAGGAAGAGCGCCACTACTGTTGGGCGTCCGACAATAGCTACTACGGCGACGACGTCTGTCAAATAATGGGTTAGCGACTCTATTAGTCATCCGAGGCTTAGACACTTAAGGCGGTTGATCACCGTTTGTAACAACGTTGTCTGTTGGCGTATAAATCGCCCCGTAACCGACGGAGTCGGCATCGAGCAATTGAACTCTGAACTCTCTGAAAACCAACTCTGAATAAACTCTGTTCCCGTCCTTTGCTGTTCTTCCCACTCCTGCCTCTTCAAACTCCATTCTATCTCTAGTTATCCGTCAGAATCTCAGTAGATTCGTGACAATTGGTATCAAAGCCGTCGTGATTCTCCTCCTTGACCGCGCTCGTAATTCCAGACGGCAGGAATCCGGGTTCCGCTTCGGTGTTGAACTCGTGATTTCAGAGGTCTGTGTTTTGGTTGAGCGGGTCGGTGGTGATCGCGGGTTGTCGCGCTGGTTGGTTGATCCTCATCCTGGCGCCGAAGAAGAAACCCACCAAGTTCCAGCAGCAGATGGCCAAGTCAGTAGAGGAACTCTTGTCCCAGTTCGACAAGATGTTGAAGCAGTTCACGGGGTTTCAGGCGATGATGCAGAATTCGTTGGACTCGCTCAACGCCATGGGGGCGTGGCAGGCAACCGCCGACCAGGCGTTCGGCGATTTGCATCAGCGGGCGGAGGGCACCTCTTCTTCTCTGGAGGCTGTCACGCGGGTTGATCTCGCCGTGTCGCGTATGGACTCGTTGGTGGCGCGGCTGACGATGGCTCCCGCAACCGCACCGCTGCTTCACCCTCCACCAGGGTCGAGGCCGATGGACCTCAACCTTGCTCCCGGATCGTCCTCGTGCTCACCTGTGAGGGACGGGGAGCGGCCCAAGGGGCACGGCGAACACTGCGGCGGGATCCTCGGACCCCGGCCGCAGGACTTCGGCAAGGGTATGTTTGCGAATCCACCTCCTGTCGTTACAGTTGATGATGTTGCACCTGCAACTGTCGTTCTCCTCCTTTCCCGAAAATGGAGTTTCCGAAATTTGATGGAGATTTTCCTCGCCTTTGGCGGGATCAATGCGAGGTATTCTTCGAGGTGTACGCGGTGCATCCATCTCTGAAGATGCGATTTGCTATCCTGAATTTCAAAGGAGTTGCTGCATCTTGGCTGCAAACGATTCAGAGAAATGGGCGATCACTGATTGGGATAAGCTCTGTGATCTTGTGACGAGCAAGTTTGACAGGAATCAGTGCCAACTCTTGCTGAAACGATTTGACAAATTGAAGCAGAAGGACTCGTGGAGGAATATCAGCTCGAGTTTGAGAAGCTTGCCCAGGGTCTTTTGCTGTACAATGATGCCTATATTTCGTGACTCGTTTTGTGGATGGTCTTAAGGAGGAGATTCGTTCAGTCATAGCCCTGCATTGGCCACCAGATGTTGACACGGCCAGTGCGTTGGCTTTGCTTCAAGAAGAGATTGCTAGAAGCAAGAGCAAGTTTGGGGGTTACCCACGTGGCCATGTCAGGATGGGCTATGAAAAGACCAAGACATCTGAAGTTGAGAAAGGGAAGGGTGAGGGCCACAGTAAAGAATCTGAAGATAAGTTGGCTGCTCTGAAGGAGGCAAGGAGAAAGAATGGCTTGCGTTTCAAATGTGGAGCCAAGTGGGGTCATAATCACAAATGTGCTACTCAGATACCCCTGCATGTCTTGGAGGAAATTTTGGATGCACTGGAGCCAACAGATGATAGTGACTCTGATGGGCCTGAACAAATGGAGGATGAAGTTATAGCAACTGTATCTCAATCTAGCTCTTTGGATTCTATCAGAAGGAGGACAATGAGAATCTGTGGTCACATTGGCAAAGTGAATGTACTCATTTTGGTGGATTCAGGTAGTGTGGGGTCATTCATCAGTGATAAGTTAGCTGCTCAACTTCAAGTGAAGACTGTACCTTGCCCTCCTGTCCAGTTAATGGCTGCTGATGGTAGTCCTATGGTGTGTGATCAGAGGATACCAAATTTACAGTGGACTGCATAGAACCATACATTTGTCACTGCTGTGGGTGTCATTCCACTTAGGTGTTTTGACATGATTGTGGGGGCTGATTGGCTTGAGGAGCATAGTCCCATGTGGGTTCATTGGGGCAAGAAAATCATGAGGTTCACTGCTGCTGGGAAAAGAGTGACTCTATTGGGTTTGAATCAAGAGTTAGTTCAGTGTCCAGGGGTCTCTAACCAAGCTCTCAGAGGCTTACTTAACAGACAGGCTGTGACCCATTGTATTCAGCTTAGGATTGATTTATCTCAGTCTGTGAGGTTTCATGAGACTCTGGCTGCTGCTAGCATTTCTGAGCAAGGAATTCATCAGTCAGTAGAACAGTTGTTGGATCAGTTTGCTGACATCTTTCAGACTCCTACTACTCTTCCTCCACAAAGACCCTTTGATCACAGGATACCACTGTTGCCTGGTGCTCAACCAGTCAATGTCAGAGCTTATAGATACTCACCTGCCCAGAAAGATGAAATTGAGAAGCAACTGTCTGAAATGTTGCAGAATGGTATTATTAGGCCCAGTGAAAGCCCTTATGCCTCCCCAGTGTTGCTGGTCAGAAAAAGGATGGCACATGGCGGTTTTGTGTTGACTACAGGCACTTAAATGCTCAGACAGTGAAAACAAACATCCCATGCCTATTGTGGAAGAGTTGATTGATGAACTAGCTGGAGCACAGTGGTTCTCCAAACTTGATTTTAGAGCTGGGTATCATCAGCTGTGTATTCACCCTGATGACACTCATAAGACAGCTTTTAAAACACATAGTGGGCTGTATGAGTTCTTGGTCATGGCTTTTGGGCTTACAAATGCACCAGCAACTTTTCAAGGAATCATGAATCACATATTTGTTCATCTTCTAAGAAAAGGAGTCATCATTTTCATGGATGATATTTTGGTCTACTCAGCTACATTGGATGAGCATTTGGCACTACTGCAGCAAGTATTCCAGGTTATCAGAGAACACCAGTTTTTCTTGAAAAGATCCAAATGCTTCTTTGCTCAAAAGGAAGTGGAGTATCTTGGTCACTGCATATCTGGGGTTGGTGTAGCCACTGAGCCATCCAAGATTGTTGCTGTGCAGGAGTGGCCTAGACCCCAGAACCTGAAAGAGTTAAGAGGCTTCTTGGGATTGACTGGTTACTACAGGAAGTTTATCAAGCACTATGGCATGATCAGTAAACCCCTATCTGATTTGCTTAAGAAGGCTAGTCCTTTAGTTTGGACATCAGTGACTGAGGGAGCCTTCAACCAACTGAAATCTGCCTTAACTCAGGCACCAGTGTTAGCTATACCTGATTTCCAGAAGCAATTTGTTTTGGAAACTGATGCCAGTGACATAGGTTTTGGGGCTGTTCTGATGCAGGAGGGACATCCAGTGGCCTATCTAAGTAAACCTGTGTGTGCCAAGAACCAAGCATTGTGTACATACGAAAAGGAGTGCATGGCCATAATTATGGCAGTTGAAAAATGGAGAGCATATTTACAGCATCAAGAATTCATTATCAAGACTGATCATAGAAGTTTATTACATCTGTCTGACCAAAGGGTAACAACAAAGCTCCAGCAAAAGGCTCTCTTGAAGCTCATGGATCTACAATTCAAAATACAGTACAAAAAAGGTACTAGTAACCAAGCAGCTGACTCATTGTCCAGGTGTTCTTCTCATCTCACAGTTACAGCTGTTGCTATTTCCAACCCTGAGTGGTTAGCCAGAGTCAAAGAAGGGTACTCTGATGATCCTGTTGCAGTTAAGCTTTTGAAGGAATTATCTGACAATCCTGCTGCAACCAGCTCCTTTTCCTTGCATGATGGTATTGTGAGACATAAAGGGAGAGTTTGGCTGGGAAATAATAAGTTGGCTCAGCAGCATGTAGTTCAGGCTATGCACAGCAGTGCTGTGGGAGGTCATTCTGGAGTCCAGGCTACATATTATAGGATCAGGCAGCTCTTTACTTGGCCTGGAATGAAGAGTACCATTTCTGAATTCATCAAATCTTGTGCTATATGTCAGCAAGCCAAGGTGGAGCACACCAAGCCTGCTGGATTACTTCAGCCCTTACCTGTTCCACAGCAAGCCTGGAAAGTGGTATCCATGGATTTTGTGGAGGGGTTGCCCAAGTCTTCAAGGTTTGATACTATTTTGGTGGTGATTGATAAGTACACTAAGTATGGCCATTTCATTCCACTAGCTCATCCTTTTACTGCACTACAAGTAGCTCAGGCCTTTATGGAGCATGTTTACAAGTTACATGGGCTACCTGAAAGCATTATATCTGACAGGGACAAGATATTTACTAGTGCCTTTTGGAGAGATTTGTTCAAACTCACTGATACACAATTACTGATGAGCTCTTCTTATCACCCTCAAACTGATGGTCAGACTGAGAGATTGAACCAATGCTTAGAGGGCTTTCTTAGATGCAGTGTTCATTCCTGCCCCAAACAATGGGCCAAGTGGTTACCCTTAGCTGAATTCTGGTACAATACATCTTATCATTCAGCTCTGGGTAGGTCTCCTTTGACCCTATGGGCATTCTCCTAGGCCACTTTGTCATCACCAATGAAGTTCACACTCATGCCCCTGATCTGGAGCAATGGCTAGTAGAAAGGAATTTGCTGCAGGATGTGATTCAGCACAATCTGTTGAGAGCTCAACATAGAATGAAACATTATGCTGATTTGCAGCGTCAGAGAAGGAATTTGTTGTTGGAGATATGGTTTATTTGAAGCTTTAACCTTACATTCAGTCCTCGGTAGCTCCAAGGAGTAATCT